ACACCACACCACAACACAACACACCACAACACAAAACTGCACCACATCACACCACACTACACTAAACCACACTACACCACACCACCACACCACACCACACCACACCACACCATGCCACACTACACTACACCACATCACACCACACCACACCACAACACACCACACCACACCACACTACACCATACCACACTACACTACACCACACTACACTACACCACATCACATCACACCACACCACACCACCACAACACATCACACCACGCCACACCACACCACGCCACAACACACCACAAAGAAAAGGAAGTGATATCTTACCCATGCATATCCTCGTTTGTTTAGTTCCTCCCACAGGGCGCTTCTTTCGTACATACGGTAACACAGGAAACCCACAGTAAATCTGCCTTGATGATCCGAGTGTCAAAAGTAGAAGCAGTCAACGAACTGTGGGAAATGTACCAAAATAAGAAGCTCCAGAATTGCTTGGCTGACCTACTTATTACCTCTGAAATCAAAGACACGGTCAAGGATAAGGAACTGCATTTGGAAGTTCACTTCCTTAAGGAWGTTTATGAAAATGCAAGAAAGAAGTTGGAAGGTAGGGTGCTTTTTGTGTTTAACTCCCTTGAGTATTATTTCTTTACTTTGCTGGTAATGATTTAGAACCTTTTCTGTGGGCAAGTGATTTTTTTTTTTCATTTCAGTCCACATGAATTTGCTTGAGTATTATTTCCTCCGACTTATAGCGATTAGAACCCTTTACTTTTGCCATAGTTAGCTAGCGTCTTCCCTTCTCAGGACACAATTTATTTCCTTGAGTATTATATATTTTTTTACTGGTAATGATCATAATCAACATCACTATCATAATCATTATCATCTTGACCATCATTATTATCATCATCATCATGGCACCATCATCATTTTTATCTTTATTATAATCATCATCATCATCATCATCATTATCATCATCATCACCCTAATCATCATCTTCATTTATTTCCTTGAGTATTATATATTTTTTTACTGGTAA